CTGGCTCTGAGACGATACAGCTCAGCCGTCAGTGAAATGGAGCAGACCATTCTTCTGCCAAGCCTGCTGAGAGACATGCCCTCAGACGAGGTGTGGGACTGTGAAGCTGCAGAAGAGACCTGCAAAGACCTGTTCAGCAACTACTTGATGCTCAAAGCCATACGGACCACAGTGGAGAGTGGCCTAATTCGCCTGGACGATCACAAGGCCAAAAACAACATAGCACTAAACAAGACCCTGGAGCCTCTCTTGGACACAGATCCTGAAGCCCTCTTCCACTTCCACGTGAGAGGACTGTTTTCTGTGATGAGTGACCTCACCAAGAAGACGCAGACTCTCACTGAGAAATACATGGACATTATTGGGATAGCAAATTAGTCACAAAACCTAAGATATGTGGACATCTGTTTTTAAGAGAGTCATCTAAGACACCCAACCATTGCAAATGTCTGAAATGTTTACATTCAGTGACCCCAGACAAACCTAATGAATAAGGAATAAATATACATTGTCAAAATTAATCAATTGTGTCTCTTAATTTGCTTTTGTAATGATCTCTTTTTAAATTTCGTGATAAATATTTTTGGTCATATCGCCCTGCTCTAATCCCTTTTATATAAACAAACACCACAAGAAAGATGACTTGTTAAAGAATATCAGAGTTTCCTATGTTTGTAAAGAATTCAACTTTTTGTTTTCACTTATAAAGTCAGTCACAAAATTGAGTTTGTGGGTTGAGTTTATTCTTTTTATTTACATATCTATATTTCAAACAATATATGACAGAATGCTCTCACAAAAAGGCTGCTCAACACAGGCGGCAACTGTGAATGTTTCCTCTCTCCGCAGCCACTGATGCTTAGCGCACAGGATGGAAAGGCTCAACAATCTCAGCAAAGGTCTTTTGCTCTGGTAAGATAAAAGAAACCAAAAGCAACAATTTGATTACAAACATACATGACCCAACGTTTCATAAGATTTAATCAGAGTAAATGTCCTACAGCACTGCACAGTCTAATTTCTTCCCCCGTGGCATTTCTCAATCAAAACAATAACATCAAGCCTAGTTAAATAAATGTAACAAAAAGTAAAGATTACCTCATCTGTGAAAATGGCTTCTTTCTGAGTTTGATGGCCTAGTTTGATGGCACCGGAAAGTAGTGTGGGACCATGGGAGCTGTAACTATCAGCATCAATGCTACTGAAAATCTGATGTGACTCAGAAAGAAGCCATTTTCACAGATGAGGTAATCTTTACTTTTTGTTACATTTATTTAATTTGCAATAAATTTGCATCACCCCGTAACATTACTGTATGGATAAGCTTGGTGGCCATCAAATATAAAGTTGATTTTCCACTGACAGGTGACTGAAATATTAGAAATAAGATTATGGATTTCTCAAGCTTTGAACACATTTCAATTATGTAGATACACATTCTAAAAGGTACAACATTATTTTTCTTGCTTTCAGGCAATCTGGGATTTGAATTTGTAACAGGGTACATATTACATACTTAAACGCTAAAGAAACTATTTCACAACTACACTGCACAGGATTTAACATCATCCAAAGACAACAAACAAAAAATAATCCGATGTGGTGTGTGCATAAACATAATTCCCACCTGTGTGGTGCTGAGCCTGTTCTGTGTTGGTGTTTTTTGAAAACAAGGACATGTATGAAAATAGATTATTATGTATAATTTAATTTGAAAGAAAATCATGAAAGCTACATCAGCTGAAGAACGGTGAATGGTGGCAGCCACTCACAAAGCACAAATTCTGCATTGGCTGTGGCTGTACTACTAATCGGGAGGTTGGTGGTTTGATCCCTGATTCTTCGGATCTGAATGTCAAAGTATCCTTGGGTGAGAAACTTGCCTTCTGATGCATCCACTTAAGTGTGTGTGAATGTTAGTTTAAAAGCTCTTTTTTCAATGAAAAAAAAAAAGGGCTTCATACAATAAAGAAGAGGTAGTGTTGGGCTCTCCTGTCTTGTGTTAGAGCAAAGACATAAAAATGAACTTACCCTTTGGTACAAATTTGTCCGGGTGGAGTTTGATATACTCATTCATGTCTCGATCAAGTCTAGCATAAGTGTAATTTTCATATTTGGTAACATGGTAGCCAATGAACCAGCCAATGGTTGCCAGCAGAAACTGTCGATGAACACCTTAAAGAGAAAACATGGAAAACGATGCAACATTTATTGATCAGATAGAACTAGCATACAGCAAACTAAAGTAGATATATTTGCAAGATCCTTCAAAGCACAATAATAAAATCTTACTGTGGTTATGAGAAACCAAAAGCTTGCACATTATAAGGTTTTCTCTTAAAAAAAATAGGATTGCAAAAAATGCAAACAAAAGCAAATTGAATTAATAGGTGGAGGCTTACACTTTAGCTTACTGCACCTAGCTTTTTGACAGCGCATTTTATATCAACACTTCATAGCTAGATATTACCAAAACAAAGACGACAGGAAACACAAAACAAAACCCAATGTGGCACAACCAATGTTAATACTACTTTCTTTTTCAGATAGGGAGAAACAATAACGACAAAATTTAACGCTAGACTTCTTTAAAAAAAATAATTAACAAACGAACATTTAGTTTTCAGTTTTGTTTATTTTGTTTAGTTCGATTTCAGAATCAGAATACTTTATTAATCCCCAAGGAAATTATGCATGTATTTTTGTTCAATTTAAAACTTTATTTTAATCATCCTCTGTGTCATGTGCTGGATAATGAAAGATCTTGTTTTTATGGTGTCCAAATTTCTTAACTGTTTTTGATATTTATCGCTATTTTAATGCTAAAGGAAACGTAAATACGCTGCGACCACTGTGGACAGCTCACAACCAGCTACTAATCTGAGAGAACATTTATTTACTAAATACTCGGATTTCTTTTTTAAAATTAAGTGTTTCATATGCTTGAAAGGAAAGCGTCCGTTCGTGCACCAGTCTGAAAGACAGGTAAAATGCTAACCTGATTTCATTGGCGGCCTGTGGTTGATTGCGTTGTGCAGCACGGCGGAGACCCAGCCTACACCGGCCAGCCACAGCGAATTCCTGTTCACGAGCCCCGGAGGAGGCAGAGACTTCCCCTCTTCTGGAATAAAGCCCATGGCGAGAAATGTGCCCTTTAGTTCAGACCTTATTTAATAATTTCCGAGATGCCTACTACTACTATTCATCGGCTATCACCTCTCGTAGGAAGTCAAGGGCACAGCGTGCAACCGAACTACTGGTCCGGGCGCAACCAACGACTAGCGCTTGAGTTCCGCATTATTTGTTTCCTAGCAACAAAAGCCCATGAGTCACAGTAGGCCAAAGTCTTTGTAAATAAAATGTGCCACATAGTTAATATTACAGTTCAGTCCGCTTCAAAATATTTACTACATTAATGTGTACGTTAGCATCATATATAGAAATATCATAAAATACATCTTAATGGGAAAATAGATTAATGGAATCAGAAAAACAAAAGAGAAAAAATTAAACAATAATAATAAAAAAACAACATAGTCCGTATTCAGCTTAAGGTAATAACCGAGGAGGACACGTGCTTTTAATATACTAATGTTGTAGAAACTGCAAAACTCTGTAGCTTTGTACTTTCACTCTTTTGTTTATCATTGCTCTGTGTGAGTTTCCCTGTTAGAATTATAATCTATAAAACTGCAGTGTCCACGTAGTATAAATACTAGAAGCTCTGTAGAATGGAACAAAATTGCAGCATGAGAGAGAGAGATCAAAAATATTCATATCTAAAATTCCCTCCGAGTTTCTTTCCCATGAATTCTGCTGCATCCACCCAGAACAACCAGTGGAAAAATAGAAAAATGCTTTCCTTTCCAGCCCACGGATGTCTGCATCCGTTTGAATGTTTGAAGCTTCACTGGGAAAAGACACACTCCATCAAGTACTTTTCTGAATGCAGTGAGTACATGTAACGCGTTACTTTGCATGTGAACTGATGACATCATTGAGGGCAGCCCCCCCCCCCTCCCTCATCGTCTCTCTATCAGACGGGCTGCTGCTGCTGAGCTCCTGAGGATACACAGCCCTGCCCAGCAGCGGCTTTGCCCATTTGAAGAGGTGACCTATGCATGCCAAGTAGTTCTAAGTCCGGGGATATCCCCGTGTTTTTGGTAAGTATGAATTATCTCCTGACTCGGTGCGGAGGGCAGACTTTGATTTTTTTTTCCTTGCTGCATCTGCAGATAAAATGGCCAGAATCACACGCTGTAGCCGCTAGTTGCTACCGTTGCTAGCTTCGACCGAATGGCTTTCAACTCAGATTAAAAATGAAGGATAATTAGCCAGAAGTGTAAAGCTACTTCAGATTACGAAATGTGCGAGATGCTGCAGTTTTTTCCCCTTACCTTTCAGGGCATAAGATGTTGGTGAAGATGTGATTGCGACACGGAAAGAAGTGTTTCAAATCACTACAAGAAAGGGTTAAATTATTCCTTCAAAATCTTCTTCTCTGTACCAGCATTGTCAACCAGAGATTCACATCTTCCTGCAAGCAACAGTTTGTTTCCTTAAAATGTTGTTTTTACAGCGATATGTTCGGTTCCTCCGCACGTAAAGGCCCGGTTCTCCATTCTAGCGTAGGGGCACACATAGAAACGCATTGCAGAATTTAAACTTGTGCTATATTATCATTGTTTACATACATTTCAGATCACGCCCTGTTTTGTGGGCATCGACCAAAGTAACTCTTGCATCTTTGCGTTTTGTGCTTTGTGCAGGTTGTATTGTTTGAATCTCCATGTCTCCATGCAAGTGATGCACGGCCCCAAAAAACGGGAGCTAAAAAGAAAATAAAAGATATCAAATATCTAAAATGAGATCTTGTGGAGGAGTGAAACAGAAATGTTTGCTATTTTCTTAAGTGCACTGTCTGAAACACATGTGTCATATGCTTACCAAAAATGCCAGTTTTCCTACAGTGATCTAAACTATTCCATTGAAATGAGACTGGACAAACTGAGCTTATATTTAATTGAGAAAGACACATTTTACGCTTTCCACTGTAACATTTCACAGCTATTTTAGTGAATAAGTACCATGGCCAGCTGGTATAAGGAAACATCTAACAGAAGCTTTCAAGTGGCAAATTCTTAAAAACAATTAAAGTTGCAGATAACTTTAAAATGCTATCATCTGCAGCATAGTGGAAAAGTAAGATTCAGATAATCTGGAGGGGCAAGGTTAGCATTTAATGATGGTGATATGGTTCCATGCATGAGCTCAGGAAAACTTTCATTTACTGAGGCAAAGTGGAAAGCTGTTCTGTGGTCAGGCAAATCAAATTTTAAATTATCTTTTGAAGTCATAAGTCCCGTGACTTTTGGCCTAAACTGGACGTGGATCAGCCAGAATCCCGGGATTCTCAATAATACTTAGAGGCTTTGGTCCAGTATCTGCCATAACACTTTTTTTTTTCTTTGGTCAGGGAATATGTTTCTTACTTCAG